CTTCACAGCAATAAAGTATTGACTAAGACACATAGTAAAGAGAAAAGAAAATAGTTAATCAGTTCCTCAAAATGTTAAAATGTAGTTTCTGTATTATTAAGCAACGACTTGGTACACACCCAAGAGAAATGAAGAAGGATGTCCACATAAAACTGAAGCATGGTACAGGGGGTACAATTTGGTCATAGAGCACTAGAATGTATGAGCTCATGGCGCTCTCTCCATCACCACCACTGGCAAGACTTGTGCATCAGTGCCAACAGTAGACTTGTTCATAGCCCAAAGGGGAAACCACCCGAATGTTTACCAACTGATATACACAGAAGCAAAGTGTGATATAGTCATACAGTGATAGTCTTGTTGTAAACGTACTGAAGTAGTGACTCATGCAAAAACATAGACAAACCTAGAAAACATTATGCTGAGAAGCTAGTCACAAAAATAAAAATAGGTCTGGAGAGATGGCTCAGCAGGCAAAGGTGCTTACTGGCAAGCCTGACAGCCTGAGTTTGATCCCTAAGGCCTACATTGTGGAAGGAGAGACTGATTATTCTCACAAGCTGTTCTTTGGTCAACATGTCCATACTCAGACACACAGAGACAATAAATAAATACAATATTTTAGAAATCAACGTATCAGGCTGAGAGATGTACCACACAGTGTGCTGTCATGTGACAATAATTTCAACACTTGAAGGGTGGAAGTAGCATCAGGAGTTCAAGTTCATCCTTGGCTATGAGCTCAAGATCAGCCTGAGCTAAATGATACTCTGTGTAAAAATTAAAAATCAACCTACCATTCTCTACATATGAAACATCCCTCTAATGCTTTCTGGACCCACTCTCTCTCCTGCCCCCTACCTAACTCCCCCCTTTTATAGCCATAGACTCCAGTTTGTGCCGCTCATATACTTCTGGGTGTGGGGCCATCTTCTGGAGCACAGTCACGTACCAAGAACCACACCCTTAATGAAAACCACTCTCCTCCTCCCAGTACCCATGGACTATCAACAGCTCCCCAGATAGTGGGGAGTCTTGGTAAAGGTAACTAGTTTAATCTTGTGCAGACAACTTCTTTTTTTATTTTTTATGGAAACAGTACCAATCACCTGTATTCCAGGCAAGGAACAGACTCTAGAATTTCATGTCAACTGATCAATCAGGGCCCTAGTTTCAGGTGAGGGGATTTGGAAACAATTTAAAATAAAAGTATAGGATGGTAGATGGTGCCCAATGCTCACATGTCCCAAAGAAGGAGTAATGTGCACCCATGAAAAGAAGGTCATGGCCTGTTAAGTGTAAGTAGTAGATGGTTTTCAAGTTGCTATGTTGCTTATAAATAAATCTCTAACCTGTAGACTCTGAACCCAAACTAGGAAAGCTATAGAAAACACACCAGAATGCTGGTTTTCTTTGGATCATGGGACTGTGGGTATCATTCCCATCTTATTTTAATCTAGCCAGATGTTCAACAATGAACAACAGAAATTTATTTTTAGGTTTTTTTCAAGACAGGGTTTCTCTGTAGCTTTAGAGCCTGTCATGGCACTTGCTCTGTAGACCAGGTTGGCCTGGAACTCACAGAGATCCACCTGCCTCTGCATACCAAGTGCTGGGATTAAAAGTGTGCACCACCACCTGGCTAACACACAGGAATTTACAATCAGAGAACACACACACACACACCTTCATCTGCCTCCCTTCCTTTCCATGGCTCATTCTTGGGACCTTTACTCTATCCTTGCTTTGTTCAGTCATCTGCATACACCTCTATCCTAGCCCCAAGCTGCAGCCTAAACATGCAGGAGCAACCCTTCACAGGTCCCCCAAATGTCTTCAGGTGGCCCCATAAGTCCCACCCATCCCAGATGCTCCTGTCAATCACCAGGAAGAGGGAAGTCTTGCTCATCTTTAGCCTGTCTGGGATACAATGCTGCACACCTCTCTTAGATACTGTGGCCAAGAGAATAACCTATCTCTTGCCTGGAACTCAACCTTAAAGGTTGCTTCTCAAGATGGCCCTGTGTGTGTGATAGTGGACATGAGTTTAAATTTTCAGAGAGAAGATGAAGCATTGAGGTTCCAGGGTATTTTACTCCTGTCAGGTGGTGTAGATGGTGTGGATGGTATAGATGGTGAAGGCTTTTTCATGTGTGTCCTCATTTGTCACAGGAATCTTTAAATAGTGTAAGGAAGAATCAAAGATGTTTTGACTTAACCTGGACCAGCAGCCTGTTCCAAGCTGTGAGCCCTGGACCAGCGATTTGGCCCGGAGGAGACAAGTATGAATCAACAGTGCAAATGTGGCTCAAAGGCATGAAGGTTTCTCATGAGCTGATTCGCTCAGGCAGCCCTTCCAGCTTGTCCGGGCTCTGGACTCATACTAGAGAAACCTGCTGTGGACACCACCAACACCTGTGAGCCTTTGCCGCTACACCTGACACTCTGGTTTTAGAACGTTCCAGGAAGTAGCTCTTGATGACAGCAATAAATGAACTCAGGGCTTCCTGTTTGTTCATCTTGCCCACCTACATGCTTAATAGTCAGGAGGGCTGGGAGGGGAAGGGGGACTGTTTTTGTGGTTCTTTGGAGGAAGGAGTACTCGTGGAGTTCTAAGCTAAGTGCCCTAGCCTGTGCATGTAGGGAATGTAATAGTATTACAGAACACTGGATCCAGACAAATCAAATATCCTGTCGTCAATCTTCTGTGTTTTCTTGAAACTGAGACAACAGGATCTGGTGTGCCAGCCTCCATCACACCGGTATGGTATCCCAGCTGTCATCTTAAATAAGGTCAACAAACCACCAACGTTGTTTCCTCCCTGCAGAGCTGGGCCCTTTCTTGAGATTAGGCCTGGTGCTATTTGGCAATTGGGAGCATGGAGGTGGGGACACAATCACCTTACATTCCACTCTACCCTCAAACATTCAAAGCAGAAGCATGAGTGGGTGAGTGACTTTCATATTTGTCACATCCCTTCCTCTTCTGCTACCCAAACCCAGGCTCTGATCAAGTCTCCTTCAGGCCACTATAGCTGACATCACCAACCGTCCAGGGGCTGAAGGGCTGAGGTTCCCACAGGAGAAGGAGGGGAAGGGTTCCAGCCATCGTTACTCTGCCAATTGCTCTAGGTATCCACTAGGCTTAAGATGAGGCACAGGTGGCCATGGGGCTCCCAGAAATCAGATGGGAGGCCATTTGGCTTGTTTCCAACCTCCTCCATCCCAGTCACTGTCCACTGTGCCCCACATGTCTGGTCTACCTTGAAGCACATGCAGTTTAGGGTATGTCCTTTTCCTTCAGGTGCTGATGTGCTCTGGTTTTCAGGTCAGCCTGGCCTTGGTCCTCCACCTTGGCCCTTGGCCCTTTTACCATGGCTCATCTGGTCCCCTCCTGCAGAGAGAGGTCCCACTCAAACCTGTCAGTCACTGATCCTGGGGCCTCTTACAGGCCAGGAAAGGTGAAGTTCTGCAGCCCTACTTTATGGGCTCAGAAGAACTCAAAGAGGCAGCCATATAAAAATCAAATAAGCTCTGAACACTTTCAAGTTTTCTTTTTTCTTTTATATTCTGTGTGGGATGACTGCAAAGCATCATGCCCTCCTGGTCACATGACTTATGAACAGGGCATGGCTGAGAAAGCCTCGGCCACACCCACAATCTAGAGCATTAGAAAGGGGAGGGGAGGAAAGAGAGGCAGATGGAGGAAGGAGCAGTGATGACCCAGCCTCTTCTCACGTTCAGGGATGCTTGTTCCAAGAATAACGATAACATGGTTATACATTCCTTGACTCATGTTCAAGGTCTTTTGCATGCATATGTATTTGTACCTGTGTGTGTCTGTGTGTGTGTGTCTGTGTGTGAGTGTGTGTCTGTGTGTGTCTATGTCTCTTTATGTGTGTGTCTGTGTGTGTGTGTATGTGTGTATGTCTGTGTGTGTGTGTCTATGTGTGTATGTCTGTGTGTGTGTCTATGTCTCTGTATGTGTGTCTGTGTGTGTTTGTGTGTGTGTGTCTGTGTGTGTGTCTATGTCTCTGTATGTGTGTGTCTGTGTGTGTCTATGTGTGTATGTCTGTGTGTGTGTGTCTGTGTGTGTGTCTATGTCTCTGTATGTGTGTGTCTGTGTGTGAGTGTGTGTCTATGTCTCTGTATGTGTGTCTGTGTGTGTTTGTGTGTGTATGTCTGTGTCTGTGTGAGTGTGTGTCTATGTTTCTATCTGTGTGTGTGTCTGTGTGTATCTTTGTGTGTGTGTCTGTGTGTGTGCACATATAAGTGTAGACTAGAAGTGGACACAGGGTATTTTCCTTCATCCTGTTCCACATTATTTCCTAAGACAGGGCCCTTCACTATTTGCTGAGTATGTCTGGCCATCAAGCCCCAGAGAGTTTCCTCTCTCTGGCTCCCCAGAGCCGGGGTTATAGGCACATGCTGCCATGTCCAGCTTTTATGTGGGTAGCTATGGGAGGAAGCGAGGGGCCTGAACTCAGGTTCTCATGTTTGTGTAGCCAGTATTCTCACCAACTGAGCCACCTTCCCAGACCCTCGAGGCCTTTATAAGAAAGGGCTTTCTTAAATATACCAGAACTGATTGGTAAATACTTGATTTTTCCACAAGGATTTGAGTACAATGGAGCCAGCTGTCTCTGTGGATTATTTCAGTATTTGCACACACACACACACACACACACACACACACACACACACACACACACACAATAACAGTGGGATGAAATGCATGGCCACCTCCACCTAGAGAGAAGTACAAGCTTATTCACTTTCCCATTGCTGGGACGGGATCCCTACAAAGGCAACATAAGGAAGTATGGGTTTATTTTGGCTCTCAGGTCCAGGTCCAGGTCTTGCAGTCTATCATGGAGAGGAAGGTATGATGTTGACAGTGTGAGGCAGCTGGTAGCATCCACAGTCAGGAAGTGGATTAATGGTACTTAGCTGTTTTTTTTTTTTTTTTCTTTCCTTTTTATTCAGTCTGGATGGATCTCAGTTCACAGGATGGTGCTGTCCACATCCAAGGATCTTCCTTGCCCAGTTAACCCAGTATAGAAACTCTTTCACAGACAGACCCAGAAGCTTGTTTCCAAAGTGATCCTAGATGCTGTCAAGTTGACAGTGTTAACACTCACTGTCCCCAGGCCCCACCAGTGAAGTCATTCTTACTGTGGCCCAGTCCTGGTGCTGTCAGGCCTGTGGGGTGAGAGGGGCATCCGAATTTTCATCCTCCCGAGTTTCGGCAGGGGTCTGCTTCTCTGCATCCCAGTCTGCATCTGGGATAAATAAGCCATGCAGGTCTAGGTGCAAGTCCGCATCAACAGAGGCACGAGCCAATTCCGTAAAATTTTTGGCATCCAGAACAAGTAAAAATGGAAGCTTTTGGGGATCGGTAGAGACAATGGCTGATAAGATGACTCCTACAGAAAGACAAACAAAGCCCAGTTTACTTTCACTTGTATTGCTGAGACTATAATGCAGGGCCTTCTCGAAGGCTAGGCAGCTGCTCTACCTATGAGCTCCACCGGTCCCCCTCCAAGAAATACCCATGGGTGTTCAAAGTGTAGCTTTGTGTGTCCTCCACTTGGAGGGGTACATTTCTCAAAGGTGTCTCTGTCCTTTTTCAACTCATTCTAGACCCAAACAGGAAGGAAGGGGATATTGACATGCTTGTTGGCAGAAGAGAAGTCCAGGCCTGGAATAAGAATACTACTCCAGGATAGCCACTTAGTCTCATCTCTGCAGTGAAGAAATTGTCTTCACCAGCCTCCAACTTCATGGGGTGTGGAGAGGATCTTCAGGGTGGACTCTGGAAACACTTTGCTCATTTTCATGTGTATTGAAGAACGGCTTTTTCCTCCTACGTTTGAAACCTCTGAGTATGGAGAGACCCAGCCAGTTCTGGGAGTACATCTGGCCTAAGATGTGCCACTCAGTTGAGCAGGGACTTCTTGAGTTGCAAAAGCATTTGCATATTTGTGCTGTTGTTTTGTTTTGAGACAGGTCTTACAATGTAGTCTAGGCTGGCCTTGAACTCAAATTTCCTTGCATCCACCTTTCTGATGCTCAGATTACAAATCACATGTTGCCATGCCTTGCTTGTGCTGGCACTGGAACAAATCCAACTCATCTCCTGGTTATATTGGCAACCCCAACGTTTGCCTGTAAATTTGAACGTTCTCCATCCTGTGCACTCATTCAACAAGGTACAGTGGGGGTAAAGAAACTTTTAGTAAGTGCCCAAGATTCCTCCCAAAGGACCTTGGTTTCAGTAGCTGAACGTGGGTGACATCAGATTGGCCTGGATTTAAATCCAACCTCTGCATATGGGGCACATGACTTTGGTCAATTTGCCTCACTCCGAGCCTGCCCTTGCTGAAATAAGGACAATGTCTCTCCACACCCACGGAGAGAAGGCATGAGAAACAGCTGACCAGCCAAGTAGGGGGACTGGCCTCAGTAGGAGTGGATGCTAGCAGTCCCTTGCCTTGGAGATGGCAGTGACATGGGATCCCCCTGCCACAATCAGTAGGAAGCCATGGTCAGGTGGAAAGCCACTCCCTCCCACCTGAAGGAAGAAGTTGGCAGCCTTAGTGGGATGGCCTGCCCTCCCCTGCAGGTGTGGGCAACTCCATCACTGGCTTGGCCCGGGTGGTGTCCCCACCCATAGCTTATTACCCTCCCTAGCATCCCCAGGGCTGTGGGCAGGGCACTTTTGAGGCAAAGGGGGATAAGGTGATTTGGCTATGTGGAAACCCACATTTCCCAGGTGTATGAAAATGTCACATGCTTGTAAGAGAGGTCATTTGAGATTTGGGGCCAGCCCTTGTGATGAATTTTAAAACTAAGGTTGCATGTTCTGAAAGAGTTGTGTCAGTCAGTGGAAAGGTACAGGCAGAGAGTTCAAACCTTCCCACAGAAGGTCTGGCCTTTGTCACAGTCTTAATTATGAGAATATTTTCAGAGCTGTGGACTATGCCAGGTATTGTATTCTAGCACTGTCACCCATCCATCGATTCATCCATTGATCAATCCATCCATCCATCCATCCAATCACCTACCTACCTTCTTGCTGGTGTTTTGTTTTGTTTTGTTTTGAGACAGGAACTCAGAAGTTCAAATTCTCTGTGTAGCTGAGAATGACCTTAGGCCCCTGATGTCTTCTGGGCACCCCCCAAATGCTGAGATCTCAGGCATACACACCATGCCCAGCTGATAATGTGATGACAAAGCCTAGGACCACATGTCCCTGCTTGGCCTCTGAGAAGCCGAACGCTGAAGTCATCCGCACCGGGTATCAATCATGCCACATGAATGAGCCAGGATAAAATCTCTGTGAGCTCCCATGGCTAGAAATGCTTGGTTGTCAGAGGTTAACACTATGGGCGAATTCACTGGGGAAGGATGACTAGGGGCTCTGTGCTGGCCTCTCCTGCACCCCATCCTGTGTGTCCACTTCATATTTTTGCTAATTTTAGTCTATAATCTTTCACTGTGATACGACATAGCCTTAAAAATAAAATGAGTCCATGAGCTCTGGGGGTCTTAGTGAATTACAGCATGTGGTGGCGAGAGCCCTTGAGCTTGTACTTGACATCAGAAGCAAGTGTGGTATTGGAAGTTTTTAATGTGGTTTTGCCACTGACACACCTAGACTCCTCGTCTGGCCACCTGCCTGTGGGATGCCCCGGGATGGTGCCTTTGTTTGACGGGTGATCATAAGTGTGGTCAGACAGGCTCCCTTCCCCCACTCTTACCGTCATCCTCATCCTTGGCACCTGGTGTGGGTACAAACACAGGTTCCGCCGGCCAGCAGCACTCCTCACCCCACTTTAAGGAAGACTTTGTGAGAACATCATATTTTAGTATCTGTGTATGCAGAGAAGAGAAAAATGGGATCCTGTGTCTGCAAGCACACTGACTCCCTGGGAGCAGGAGGGCATGAAGGCCACTGAGGGGAGGGTGAGCCCTCCAACCTGTACTTGTGACATCACCTCCAAGTGACACTTGTCCCAGGCAGCGCAGCCACAGAGAGGGAAACTTCCTTCCCCAATATCAAATATAGGTGGTCTGGCTCACATAAGGCTGAGACTCCACAGTCCTGCATTTTTCTGGTATTTGGTACAATGTTTTACATTATATAATTAAGGTGTTTAATGCCACTAATTAAAATGTGATACAATTCTTCGGTCGCTTCGAAAGTGAAAACCCTGGGCTATAGCTGGAGCTGTGGTGGAGCCCCTGCTGGGCTTAAGTCCCAGCATACAAACAAACAAACAAAAAAACAAAGCAAAACAACAAATACAAGGGAAAATTCCTATAAGCTATCATAGGCCTGTTCCTATAGAGCATAGGATTAATGGGAGAGGCTTGGAGTGTGTGTGTGTGTGTGTGTGTGTGTGTGTGTGTGTGTGTGTGTGAACCTTAATTTTTACTTGTGAGTATTTTTGCACAATAGATATTTAAATTTTTAAATTACTTTTAATTTATTGTCTTATTTTTACTTTATGCATTTTTATGGTTAGTGCATGGGTGTGTGTGGGGGCATGCATCACTCCATCATGCCACAGTACATACACATGGCAGAGGACAGGAGTTGGTTTTCTCCCTCTGCCATTTCCTGGGATCAAGCTGAGGCTGCCAAGCTTGACAACACACCTCCTTACCCACTGAGCTATCTCATCTCCTCTGCATTTTTAAATGCCAATAAAAAATGTTGATATGAAAGAAAAGTGGTGTGTGGCCCAGCACTTTGGACAGCACCGGACTAGATACTGACAAATAGTTACTCAGAAAAACAAAATTAATCCCCCAAGTTCCAGTGATGCCCTTCCTGCTGGAGAACTGGAGCTAGCTGCTGATTCTTGCGCTCAGAGCCCATCACAGGGTGGGTGCCACATAGCTGGTGCTCACAGTGCAGAGGAACATAAACTCATGCTTCAGATTTATCCCAGGTGACCTCCTTCCTGAATCTCCTTTCCAGTCTTAAGCCTGGATGAGTCTGCTTTGCAGACATTAAGTTTGTCCAAAGAAAGTCAGTCTCCATGCACAGGGACTTCCAGGTCACAGGGGTCAGTACCTTGGTTGGAATTGGACTCCACTGAACTTCAGCAGCAAAGATGTAGCGATATGGCTTCCCGTTGTGAGCATAATTTATCCGAGGGAGCTCTAGGCCTTGGGAGGACAGGATATTGATGAAACCCATCACTCGGGTGGGGAACTTTCCTCTTCTGACAAACTGGGCCTTGTTCCATATGAACAGTTCCCAAGTACCACCCCTGACCTTAATTCAGACCCAGATTATTTCAAAGGTGGTCATGGGTAAGGAGGTTCCTCAGATAATGAAGCTGACCCTGCTAGAAGGTTCAAGAGTGAGACGCCACAGACCAGGGGGCTTTAAACACATAAATGCCTGTAATTATCCATGATAGACATCAGAGAATTGCAGATTTAAATCAGAGGCTGCCACAATTTTTAAAAAGCTCTCTAAAAATACAGTGTGTGTGTGTGTGTGTGTGTGTACGCGTGTGCGTGCACACATGTGCACACACATGGATAACATAAAAGTCTCCAGAAGCCACTAGGAGAAGTATCATTTCATAATAAAGTAAATCTAGTATCCGGGTTAGTGCAGTCACTGTGCAAGCACTAAGGGATACTGAGGCAACAGGATCATCATAAGTTCAAAGCCAGTCTGGCTTACAGAATGAGATCTTGTCTAAAATAAATAAATAAAATAAAATAGGTAAATCCTATTATAATATCTATAAAAAGAATGTTTACAAAGGATTCTCATAACCCAAGAGATATCCATATGATAAGGCTAAGTGTAAAAGGCTGGCTGTAGAGCTGTGCATGTTATGCCACAGAGAGAGTTTAGAAGCATTGCTAAGGTCAGGTCTGCCTTCCAGCTGACACTCATCTTGCAACTTTCAATATTTCTATGGCTTTTTGCCCAGTCATTGTTTTTGGTTTTTGTTTGAAGACAAGATAAAAACCCATGCAGGCCTTTAACTCACTATATAGCTGAAGATGACCTTATTGTCAGCTGCATTTCCCAAGAGGCATTGCAGGAATATAATTTGTTCTTGTTTGTTTGTGTGTTTGTTGAGACAGAATATGTGGCTCAGGCTAGCCTGATACTGGGATTATTGGTGTGTACCACCACACCCAGCTTCAACGCACACTTAGAAGTATGAGATGCAGATTTCTCTTCACCAGGCTTTGTGTCATGTCCTGTGATATACTGAGCACAGAAACTTAGCCCTGTGGGTCAGTGGCACTTCCCAGAGAGCTTTTGACTCTCTGTTTAGGGTGAGGGCTATTTGGTACCCAGGGAGTTTCCCACACATCCTCCAATGCCTGCAATGTTCTAACACAAAGAAAATCAGCCCCACATGTCATCAGGGCTAAGGAACATGGGCCCATGGGTGTGGCTCCTGTTTGTGCATCTTAGTATCTCTCAGGCCCAGTGAGCCAATGGCACCCCTTTGTAGGAACTGTGACAGTGAAGAGGGAGAGACAGGAACCTACTATACCAATTTAATACATCACAGCCATTTGCATAATCAGCTATGCATGTCATCCATCCAAGGACAGAAGTGTTAGAGGCTATCCAAGCAAGATCCCAAAATTCTTTTCCTGGGGCCTCAAGAGCCTTCCCTGCTCTTCCCTGTCCCTGTGTGGAAGGAAGGTATCACAGAGAGGGGTTCTGGGCATCTCTGTGAAAAAGGATGTAGCCTACCTTCATAGAGGACCTCAGGCTGACAGTAGACATAGCCATCTTTTTCCTTCAGGGCTGTTGCTCTTGTAGTTGCCACCTTGATTAAATTTGAGCCCAGTTCAGCATTCTGAAAAGAGTAAGTTAAAAACAAGAAGAAAACGTTCTTCCCACAAACTCTTGCTTCACCATATGCACTTGAACAGAGCTTCAAAACATAGCACCTTGCATGGCCTCTCAGTAACCACAGGAAGCAGATATTTATTGCTGTTATTCTTAGTTAAAACTAATGAGGATTGCTGGGTGGTGGCAGTACATGCCTTTGATCCAGAAGCAGGTGGATCTCTGAGTTCGAGGCCAATCTGGTCTACAGAGCGAGTTCCAGAACAGCCAGGGTTACAGAGAGAAACCCTGCCTCAGAAAAACCCACCACCACCACCAATAATAATAATAATAATAATAATAATAATAATAATATAATAATAAAATAATGAGGATTGGGGCTGACAAGATGGTGCAGCTTTCAGCTTTCCAGAGGACCCAAGTTCAAGTCTTAGCACTACAAGGTGGCTCACAAATATCTGTTAACTTCAGTCCCAGGGATCCAATGCCCTCTCCTGGCCCCCAACAGGCACTGTACACAGATATGCACAGACAAAAATGCAGACAAATCACCTATACACATTAAGTTAATACATTTAACAATGCAACCATCATTTTAAAGATAATGAGGACTGGCAACAGGAACAGACTCTGCCAAGGCCACACAGATGGCAGGTGATGCTGACAGGACCTATTCAGGCTCTTTATCTCTCTAAGGGAACAATAATATGCTCCAAAGAGTATATTCTCTCCTATTAAATGCTGGGGGATTCACCTGCAAAAAGCTGCTTCTTTTTCCATTTCAGATGGGTGTTTACAAAGTCTACGGTAACAGATATATTTAGGATGTAATAGAGAAGGCTTTGGAGCAAACTGCACACATGGTCTGAGCCCAACCACATATGCTGGGATGAGAGTGTGAGAAATCTCACATATATGAACAACAGAGCAGGTAATGGAAGAGACTGCCCTAGTTTTCAAATACTAAGCATGAGACTTTGGGCAAGCAGTTAGCTTTCTCTGTGGTCCAATTTCCTCCTGTGCACCATGAAGATAATAGTATGCACAACTTCCAACTGATTGCAAAGATTAAGTAACATCATCTGACAAATGGTTTGCAGTAGGACCTAGATAAACACTTTTGTTAATGTTGACATCTTTGGAACAACACAGTAGGTCTTGGTATAATACTTACTCTCAGAGGATTCATTCCAATTCCTCTGGTTTCCCCAAACTCATTTAACACTGAGCACTTTGTATAAATGTTGCAACCAACAGCATTGACTTGATAACTAAGACAACTACAGAATGACTAATAGGTAGGTAGCATATGTAGAATGGATATATTGTACAAAATAATGTGTTGTGTTCTGAATAAGCCTGAGTGTTGGACTGTTAATCAGCATGTAATTTAAAATGCAAGAATCATTTTAAAGAGGCCCTTTCCTTCCTTCTTTCCTTCCTTTATCCCTTCCTTCCTCCCTCATTCCCTCCCTCCCTCCTTCCTTTCCTCCCTCCTTCCTTCTGTTACTTTTGAGACAGGGTTTCTCTGTAGATCAGGCTGGCCTCAAACTCACAGAGATTTGCCTGCCTCTGCCTCCTGAGGGCTGGGATTAAAGGTGTGAGAGCCACCACCATTGGCTAGAGGAGGCTTTCATTAAACATTTTTGGAGAACACTTGATTCTGAGTCACTGCATAAGTAAAAAGAGAAACCAGGTGAATATTAGTATATTGTTATTACTATGATTGACTTCTCTGTCCAATTTTTCAACATCATTTTTTAACATTAAAAACAACCTATTTCTCCTTTTGGGGCATGTGTATGTGTCTGGTGTGTATGTGCTTGTGTATGGGGGCCAGAGGTTGGCCTTTGGTGTCTTCCTCAATTGCATTCCATCTTACTGTTTTTTTCATATGCAAGTTTTTAGTTCATTTGTCTTCTCCTTAGAAACCAGAACCATCACTGCAGAAGAAATCACTGCAGGAGCTCTACTCCTTTTGCTTTTCACCTACACCAGCGATGGCCTTTGCAGTCCCTCTGAGCTTCCTCATTCTGTCCCTGCTTTCCTTTCAGTGCTTCTGGAACTAATCTTCTAGCAAAGGCCAAGTCCCACAAGTCTGTGTTTAGGCTCATTCTTCTTTGCATAATCCAAAGAGTCATTGATCACGCCCAAGTTGTCTTGCCATCACCAAAGTGGGTCCTAAATTTAAGTACAAAGATGACATCTGGTGTGGTCTCATACATTGTGGCTATCTTTTCCTGCATTTCTCTCTTTGGGACGTCACCTTCCCATGGGAAGGGCATCAGTGACCACATGTTTCCTCTGAAGCAAACGGTTAGTCATGAACTTCCTGGTGAGAACCGTTAGATCATTGCTGTGTCGTTCGTGATGGTGGGTCCTTGAGTACTGAAAGAGGAAAACAGGACTCCACCCTTTCTTCTGCTTCTTGGGTACAGGTTTCTTACCAATTAGCTTTAGTGGCTGAACAGACAGCTTCAGAGAGCTGCTTTCTCTACATCTCCAGTGCTGGGATTACAGATACTCAATGCCATGCTCGTCATTCACATTGACAGTGGGGATGGAGCCCAGGTCCTCATGCTTGCATGGCAAGCACTTTACAGCCTGACTCATCCCCCCAGCCTATCCCCAAACAACCTATTTAAATGATAGCAGCTCTTCTTCTGGGAAAAAGCGAATGTTAGCCACATCATAGTAGCTGAACTGAAGGGGTCTTTAGAGATTATTCATCTAGTTTAATCCCTTGATTGTTAGAAGTGAAAGCTGTGGCCCAGAGATAGAAACTGACTTGTCAAAAGTCACACAGAGAGAAGCAGAGCCTGAGTCCATGCTTTCACACTGAGATTCTCCCAGAAGCAAGAACATTTTGGACAGAGGTGGGGCGAAGAGCCCTTTCCATCCTGTAGGTCACAGCTCAAACATCTTCCCTAACCTTTCAATCTGAACCTGCTGCATCCTTGAAGCAGTAGTCCTGGAGCTCTAATTATTTCATTCATGAAGCTTTGTCCATCATTTTCTCCATGATGTCAGAGACCAGACTTTCTTTTGTGCATGACATGTGGCACTGAGGAAATGAATACGTGACTTAACAAGCTTTTCACTACTTTCAATGGTCAAGGGACAAAGAACATGCATGTCTTGCAGTTTGGTTGAAGAATCCAGTGAAACCAAGTCTATAAACTAAGTAGCCCCATGTTGGGTGCATTGTAGAGGCTTAAACTGTGCCCGTGGCTAGCTAGGCACATGATAGCAGCACCCTGTACCAGCCCCTCCCTGCCCAAGGCATGTCCAACCTTGACTCACAGGGAGTTGGTCTACAAAGATTCTTCTAGCTCTAGCCTGAAACTGGTCAGACTGGTTAAGGGATAAACTTTTAATTTTCCACACACAGCAGTAACCTAACATGACTCGGCTGCTCTTAGCAGCCAACCCTGCTTAGTGTTGAAATCAGCCAGAATTTAGTGAAAATCCCACAAGCTTGTTCTCAATCCTGATGCCAGAGGGAACTTCTGGAGAAGCAGTGAGCTCAGAAATCTGCCCCCCCCACCCCTATTGCCGTGGAGATACCAGCTTCTGGGTGGAATCAGAATTGGTAACTTGCTATGTGAGTTTGAAAAGACCCTCCACCTCCAACCCAGTGGATTGGCTTCCCTGCCTGTAAATGGGGTGCTGAGTAAAGCACAGTGGTTTCTGCCTGATCTCAGAAAGTTACGGTTTTGTAAGCATCTGGTCCCAGGCCAAAGACATTGTAGTTAACGACGGACACAAATTCAAATCCTGACAATCCCAACGATGAGTGTTTGATGTTGGGCAAGCTACTTTCCCTCTTAGCTGTAGACTCCGGGATAAAGAATAACTCAGAGGGTTGCAATCTGAATTGGCAAAGTCGTTAACAGGTCTTAAAATTTGTGGGGCCTGGAGCAATAGCCCAAGTTGAGACCCACAGGCCCTAGGCCCAAACGCTGCAAGCTGATTAAGTAAGACCAAATCGCTCTCCTATTCAGACACATGGGCCTTTGTCACAGGAAACAGCTCTAACATACCAGGACTAAAAACAACCTATTTTAATGATAGTTCTTATTTTTTTTCTGAGAAGAAGAGAAAGTTTGTTGCAATTTTGTTGTTGGATTGCAGGGGTCTTTAACTATTGGCCCAATTTAAATCCCTCAGCCTCAAAGGAAACTGAGATGAAGAGAAGGAAATGACACAGAAAAGAGCCACATGTGGCTACTGAGACTTTACAGTAAGGTAGAGTGAGGTTGAAAATTCCATGGGCCCTAATGCTTGCCACATCTCCCATGCTCTCCCACCATACTGGTGGTTGGTAGCTACTGTGATGGACAGGGAGAACATTCCAGCAGCATAGCAGGTTCTGTCTCATAGGTTTCCCTGCAAGAAGTATGAACTGAGACATCTAGGACCCCTTAGTTCTCTGCTAGATGATATGGCCCAGTGAGAGCTTCCCACTCAGGGTTTGCCTGAACCTACACAGATGCCCCATCCAGAACCCTGAGTCCCAACCAGCCCCACCAGACACCTCATGGGCACACCAGCAACACAGTCTGCTCTTAAGGGCACAGATGCTGTCTCTCAAACTGGTTGGTACCTCAGTTATCCAAGGCTTGGGTAGATGTGATAAAAATATGCCTTTCTTGGTAGGCATGACCCCTTGGCCCTTAGAACTTCTCATCTCATGGAGAAGGGGCCATGCTTGAGACAGAAGGGACCGATTTTGGCCTCTAAAGTGACAATCTGAGAGAAGTCTCAGAGCAGAAAAGCCCACAGGGCCCAGCACTCAGCATAACCTCGACGGATACTACTTTGCCTTATCCTCATATATTCATGTCTGTCTTTGGAGACAAGCCCAGATTTGCTGGTCCAGAATCTGAAGCCATCTCATGTAGCTCTAGCATGCCTCCTCAGGTTACAACCTCTGACCCATGACAGTGAATGCTTCCAAACCTATTTCGAACATGCTGCGGCACCCTTTAGGATGAAGGCATGGCAGCTGCCCCACTGTCTGGACATGCCTAGGTTCCTCCCTGCCACTCCTCCCCTGCAGAGCTCCACCTCAGGTGCCTGCAGCCCTACATAAACAGTTGGTTTTGAGGGGCCCTTCCATACTGCCTTCCCTTGACCTCAGCTGGTCTGAGCATCAGGGGTGACCAGGAGGTCCTAGACCTCTGAGAATCATCTCCCATTGTCTGCTCTGGGTGTAACGGATTACTTACTGGGAAATGCTATGAAAGCTAACAGGAGAACTGTGCCCTCTTAGAGACTTTGCTTCATGTTTCCCATTCATTCATTCATCCACTCATGCATTCATTCATTCCCCATGTTTAAGAGTTTTCAAATGCAAGGATGATCTGTTGCAAGATAGAGTCCTTGCCCTCTAGGAGCCTGTACTTCAGCAGCAAGAGGGGATCAAGCAAGCTTGTCTCGCTGGAGTTGAGTCTTATTCTGGGGGTGCCACAGTGTACACACACCCTTGAGGGGGTGACAGCACAGACCTGAAGGATGAAGAGCTCTCTAGGCCCAGAGAGCCTCTTTAGCATATCTTCCTAGCACTCAGGACACAGTACCAGGAAGGTTGGGCTGACACTGTCCTGAATGTGGGCTGGGAAAGTGCTACAGAAGACTCCAAATTACAGCTAGGGAGAGCAGACAGGTCTCCAGAATAGGCCAGGGAGACAGGCAAAAGGAACATTGATGGGCAAAGGCCGCTGAGGAGAGAGCATCTGAGAGAGCACAACTTTCCTAACCCAAGGTTAGGATGGAACCAGGGCCTTGGAGCAGGGTGTGTGTGGCTATGTCCACCTACCCAACTTTCCCATTTATACATCCAGGCAGCTGAGTGACTTGAAAGCAAAGAAGCCATCTTTAAGGGACAATAAAAAGCAATTAAGCTGCGTGGCCAGAGCCACCCAACCAAGGGTTTGCTCTTCTTGGCTGATTTCAAAGCACCTGGTGTCTGCAAGGTGGCTTTTAAAGACACACATACAAACCATTCCAGCTTGGTTCTGAGGAAGTAGCCATTTCCCCCCTGTGATCAAAGGGTGTAAAACCTTAGGTGGGAGCAGGGAGTGAACATGTCCTTCTTCTGGCATCAGCCCTGGGCTGAGTTCAGCATTGTGACTCATGCCCTGTGTGCTCTGTGACACCCTATTCTCCCTGGACCAGAAGGCCGTCCTTACTGTGGCATTGTGGGGCCTTCTCAGTACAAAGGGTGCAGAGGCCTGGGCTGGGGTGACTTCATGGGGTGCCATTGATCACTCAAATAGCCCTTATAATAATGGAAAGCTAATGCTTTCAAGTGCCCCCCATATTTAATAGAACTGTGAAACAATTGAACCTAGGGCCTCATGTTTGCTAGGCAAGCATAGTATCATTAAACTATACTAAGCCCCTGTCCTGGTAGCCTACCAACCTAGGCTTGACCTTGCAATGCTCCTGTTTTAGCCTCCTGAGTGCTGGGGTTGTAGGCATGTGCCACCATGCCCAGCTGCTTGGCTCATTTTTTTTTCTTGTCCAATGTCATATCAGAAATCAAACCCAGAGTCACACTGTACTAAGCATTCTTTCTACCCCTGACTAACACCCCTGTCCTGGCTAGTTTCATGTCAACTTGACACAAATTAAAGTTATCTGAAAAGAGGGAACCTCAATTGAGAAAATGGCTCTATAAGATCTGGCTGTAAGGCATCTTCTTAATTAGTGATTAGTTGGGGAGGGCCCAGCCCATTGTGGGTGGTGCCATCCCTGGACTGGTATCCTGGGTTTCATAAGAAAGCAGGCTGAGCAAGCCAGTATGCAGCATCCCTCTATGGCCTCTGCATCAGCTCTTGCCTCCAGTTTCTTGTCCTGTTTGAGTTCCTGTCCTGACTTCCTTCAGTAATGAACAGTGATGTGGAAGTCTAAGCCACGTAAACCCTTTCCTCCCCAAGTTGCTTTTGGTCTTGGTGTTTCATCACAGCAATAGAAACCTTAGCTAGGACAACCCCCAGCCATACACATTTCCCCAAGCCTGGCCTTGGGAGGAGGCAGCCCTGGCTGGAGCTTCAGAGCTCTGCAGGGCTCTCAGATCTCATGTGTGCACTCTCTTCCACATTCTAGCAGACGATGCTGCCTTCCCTGGTGAGTGCCATGTTCCCTTTCTCACGGCCAGTGAGTCGATTCAAACAACAAAGATGTTACAGATGTGAAATCAGAGTGATGTGAGATTTGGCACAAGCCATGGCAGAGACGGACAGAGAGAAGTGTTAGGGAGAAAAAAAAAAAAAAAAAAAAAGCCAGAATTTGGAGACACACAAAACCGGGTAGAAATCCTGACTCTTCTGCCCCAGAAATAAGCGTGGGAAAAGGCTCCCTGGGTTGTGGAGAACTGTTCTCCAGTGTAAGGCCTGCAGGGTGAACAACTGGATTCCCACTCCTTTGCAGTTACAGATGTTCTTTTAGTGAAAGGTCCAGGTTCTAACCTTGCACTGTGGTCTGAGACATAGTCCTTTATCTCCTTGATTCTCAGTTTTTTTCAGCTGTGAACCGAGGCTTTCAGCCTTCCCCATACGTCATTTTGGTCATTAAGTGATGCAAAGTAAACAAAGGGATAAAATGCACAGCGAAGCACCTGGCATACAGCTCTCCTTTAGTAAATGGGGCTGCCGCATTTTAATTGAGTTCAATTTGGTGCCATTTAAATTAATTATATCATGAAGTCAGTGAGTTCTGGGGCCAGAGGCTTCCCTCTGTTCAGAGCCATGACAGCAGCACACTGAGGAGGACTCCTGTCCTGGGGGTCATGCACAGGGATAAGAGCAATAGTTCAACAGCTGGGGAACCCTGCTAGCTGATGTGGGGGTGGGGGGGATAGGGAGGTAGATCTCTTCAGAGAAACCTTTTGAGCTTCTGGGGATGGATCCCTGCCCGGGACCATTAGCTGAATATTTAAGATGAAAGCATACAGATGCCTTGGCTTATAACTGACATGAAAGGCAGAAGAAGGTAAGGCAGTATGCACACACTTGGCCATGAGAGAAAATCAAGTGTGTATACACACCATCACATGGGTGAAGCAAAAGAAACTGCTGAGTAAGAGAAGCCAGTTGTGCCAGGCCATGTGCTGTAAGATTCTGCCAACATAATGTGTTTGGACAGGTGATGCCCTTAAGGCTGGGAGGAGATTCATTGGGGGGTGGGGAAGGGAGAGTGTCTGGGAGGTGATGGCTAAGGGGTAAAGGGTAGGGGATTTCTCTAAGGGTGGAAAAATGTTCAAAACTGAGATGGGGATGGATGCTCAACTCTTTCTATAACAAAGGACAATGAATTGAATACTTTAAATGGATGAAGTCTGTAGTGTGTGGATTGTATCTCGATAAAACCATTAAAAAGATCCAATTAAAATATACATGCACATGTGTGTTTGTATCTATATGAATATGTAATATGTATCCAAAGAGACTGGAGTCAACAGAAACACATGCACAGTGACCGCCTGGCAGGATTTAATGAGGATTATTCCTTTGTTTGAGACAAGGTCTGACTCTAACCAAGGCTGGCTTCAGCCTCCTTAGTGCTGGCAACACAGCCAATGTTACCATTCCCAGCCAAGTTTAAAAGGATTTTCCTTTCTTCTTATATGTTCTAAAGTTTCTACAGAACATAGCTGCTTTTAGAAAAACAAAAGACTTTTTCTAAAGACTGCTCAGGGCTGGGGCAGGGATATGTTGCTGGGTGGTAAAGGATTCCTCTGTTATGTGCAAGGCCCTGGGTTCCATCCTCTGCTTTACCAAACCAAAGGAAAAAAACAAAATAAAACAAAGCAAAATAACCAAACAAAGAAAGCCCAGTTCACTTGGAAATCCAGTGTCATCAAGTATCAAGGAAAATTTCTGCCCAGGTTCAGGGCTGTTAGGAAAAGCAGAGAACACGCTACCTTGTCCACATGGAGGGGCACAGCAAACCTCTTGAGGGTGGGCACAGAGGTCATCCTGGAATTCTCCTCGAAGTTCTGGTTCAGGTTGGCCAGGTAGAAGAGCTCATAGAGGCTGCTGTCCTCATAGGCAATGACGTCAAACAGGACACAGCCATCTTCCTCATAGGCGTTGACATGATGGAAAACCACCATGGGGTCTGTGTAGAACTTGGTTGGCACGGGCTTTTTAGTCCTTTGGTCGATAATATGAATGTAAGTCTGAAAAAACAACAGCCACCCAGTGGTTAGCTCACTGTTTGATATACCTGGCAAGGTGACATCACAACCCCCAGGCCAGCCCTAGCTTGTGGCCATATGAATACCCCTTTCTTCATTCTGAGCTTTGTGCCTACCTCAAAGTGCCAGGAAATGCTATTCACAATGACCAAATTATGAAATCAGTCCACACATAGATGAAGTTTTTTCCCCCCACAATTACATAGATATAGATATTGTGTGTGTGTGTGTGTGTGTGTGTGTGTGTGTGTGTGTGTGTGTGACATTAGAAGGTGAGTGGGGGATGAACACAAAGTATAAGATACAGTTGGATGAAGGTGTCAGTATAAACCGACCACTTTCTATAAAGAGGATTTGCTAATGAGAATTAAGACAAGGGACTGGGGAGATGGCTCAGTTGGTAAGGAGCCAGCTGTACAAGCATGAGGACCTGTGTTTGAGCCCTAGCTCCCACGAGTAGAAGACAGGAGTGGTGGTGCCAACCTATAATCCAGTGCTGGGGGCTGCTGGGGGCTGGTGGGTGGGGTGGTGGTATCGGTGGTGCAGGGTGTATTCAACTTGAGTTGGCTTCTTTGTCCTGTTCATTCATGCTACCAACTTTCTAAGTATCAGGCAGTTAGTTCTTTGGGAACAGTAGAGACAAGAAATCACTCCTTCCAAGGACTGTATATACGAGTGAGGTGGAACTCACAAGAAACATAAAATCTGTAATACATGAAGGATGAAAGGTGCTCTCAAGAAACATGCAGCAGTCATGGTGGGAGCTAGAGGAAGCCGGTGTGGGATTTCCTGTAGGTAGGTTCAGGAAAGAAAGCTGCAGGAGCTAGACCAGTGAGGGAGGAAGCCATCTTATTCCAGGAGGGACAGAAGACGCGGAAGACCTTAGCAAGGGGTAGGAGAAACGGAACTGAGGGGTGGTGATTGCAGCCTTTGAGTGTTATTCTGAGCGGTATGAGAAACTGCTAGAAGGTTAAGCAGTGGTGGAACTCATCTACCTCTTTCTCCTCCTGAGGAGGCAGAGGATGGGCCTTGAAGTGGGTGGCTAGCTGGCATATTTGTACCTGCAAATGAAAATGGGTGTGAGTGTCTACACGGCACTATGTAGACAGTCAATGGATAAGGGCAACTTTCTCTGGAATGGGAGCAAAGAAGGAAAGGGGGAAGGTGTCAGGGAATCTGATGTGAAAGGGGATTTTAAAAAATTGTAATTTTTAGACAAGGTCTCACCTAGCCCAGGGTGGCCTTGAACTTGCCGTGTGGCTGAGGATGACTTTGAACTCCTGAGCCTCTTGTCTCTGCCTCCTCTAAGTGTTGAGATTACAGGCATGCACCACTATGCCCAATTCATACAGTTCTGGAAATTGAACCCAGGACTTTGTGTGTGCTAGGCAAACACTATGCCTGCTGAACTATATCCCTAGCCCAGGGAAGGGATTTTATATTCGCCTGTCTATACTAGTATGTTATTTGAATAGACAACACTGAGAATTACTGGACATTTGTCAAAAGTAGCAACAGCAAATAAATACACACATAAGCACATACACATGTATGCTTTGACATCTGTTCGTGCATGCACATACATGTACACACTCATGTACACACACACGTGCGAGGAGTAAGGTTTTTCCGCCCGCCGCTGGTCTTGTCCCCGCCACCACGCCAGCTCCAATTAACGCACTGAGACTCTGTATTTGATATAATGTTGTTGGGCAGTTACTTGTTTCTTATCAGCTAGCTCTGTCTTAAGTATTAACCCATTTGTGTTAATCTATGTATTTCCATGTGGTTTCACCTTACTGGGGAGTGGGGCAGGCGTCTGGTCTCCCCGGTCTCTCCATGCTGACTCCTCCTTACTACTTCCTCTTTCCTCCTTGTCTCCTAGTCCCTCCTATCTTCCTTTCCAATTGGCCAACAGTGCTTTATTCATTAACCAGTATGAGAAACATATATACATAATGGCATCTCCCATCACCCATGGAACACTCACGCATCTCTGAGAGAGATGTCTTCATTTAACATCTGTGGAACTCAGTGTCCTCCTGATAGCTAAGCTCACCCATATCCCAGACTCACTATACCCCACTAACCCCCCTACATTGTAAGACAAAGGCAGAGGTGTTGAAGGGGCCTCCCAATGGATGGTAGAGACTGTGTGGTCCCATAGTGGCTGTGCATCTGAGAATGGTTTTTGTGTGTGTGTGTGGGGGTGTTTGCCCAAGATCACATCCTGTTCCCAGGACAGCCTGAAATGGAAGTAGGGATTTCCAAACTCAGGACCATCCCATCACCAGAACTCTCCAGATGGTGACAGCTGCCTGCATAGACACTAAATAGCAGCTAATGTTCCATAAGCATTCTTTAGTGTAGTCTCCTAGGTACTCCTGGAGTGGGGTAGATAGACAGGAAGGGCTCACCTTGTCCTCCCTGTGGAATGACATGCAGGAAGCCCAGCTCACCCCCCGCACGTATGCGGTGGCCATCTTGAGGATATCCAACTTAAAAGGCTGCTCCAGAAATATCACATAGTTCTCTGTGACTCCAAAGCTGTGGTAGTAGCTGGGGGAGAGGAGCGAGCGAGAGGGGATGGAGCAGAATGCTTCTGCATGCTTCAAGGGGCTCTTCCCTTTCTTCTTGGTGCCTGGAGAAGAGCAAACCTGGGAATGTAGCAGGACAGCGCTATCACCTACACTTCCACTGTGTCCTCAGCTGAACCTTTGGTGAAGAGCCCACAAGACCAGATGCCAAGACTTGAGGACTCCCATTGGAGCCCACTTGCTATGGCAAACTCTGGGTCTCCAGCCTGAAAAACCACTACCTTACCCAGGGTCTTGAGGATCCAGTGGTCCCTACTCCAGCATGGGGACTCAACTGAGCCTCCAGCTGCTTTTACAAATACAATCTTATGTGGGACACAGCCACACCACATCATATCTGTGATGGCTTGCTATTTCTGCTTCTAGGGACAGTAGCTTAGTGTAGCCTTTGCAACTGGTTCCTAGAATCATTAGTAGCTACTTATGGTCCTTTGGCAGAAACAGAAGCTGCTGACCCATGCTGCAGAGCCATGTTTCTCACATTTGAACGTACATATGAATCTTGGGATGGTGATCAAATGCTGAATTTAAAGTGTTTCTGGGGCAGGCTTGTATTTCTACCAAGCCTCCCAGGAGTGCGTAAACTTCCCAGGCTTATGCCCATGTGTTTTGTGGGGAGCCAACACACATAATGTATCTCACAGGGTTTGTACCCATTGTTCTAACACTGCTCTTAACAAGACACACATCAGAGAACTGTTGTGATGAAAGACTCCCCCATGTCTCAGAGGTGAGCCAAGTATGTGCACATGCACAGGCCCAGTGGACATCCTGAGCTGTCATTGCTTCTCAGGCATGTCCTCCTTGCTTTTATAGTCAGGGGTTCTCACTAGGACCTGGAGCCCACACATTAGACTAGTGAGCCCCAGGACTTCAACCATCTCTGTCTCTCCAGAGCTAGGATTACAGGTGGGTATCACTGCATCTGGCTTTCTAAACAGGCTCTGGGGATCAACCTCAAAGCCTCATGCTCGAAAGGCTAGCACTCTACTGATAGGGCTATATCTTCCTCCAATGATGAGGGACTTTTACATGTGCTACAGCAATTAAGCAAGACTGTACAATGACCATTTTATACATGGGCAATTGAGGTGAATGGTCTATGATCCAGTCATAGCCTTGACTTCCTCCTATTTTATTAGGGAGAAACATACCCAGAAAAACAAAGCAAAACAAACAAACAAAAACCCAGAAAAACCAAGGCATGGGGCAGGGGTGGGAGAGTCCATACTCACCCCCTGTTCTAACTGCGGTTCACAAGTTCACAGGTCACAACTGCAGCTTTCACAGCGCTGAAGGCCATCGCTGTGTGTGTGTTCTGTGTTTTGAGTCTTTTGTAAGCATGAATCAGCCTTGGGCAAAAGGCCTCCCCACCCAGTCCTGGGGCTGATTTATAATGAGTTCCCTGTCCACGTCCCCACCTCTCTGCGGCCACCTGTGCACACTGTAAACAGCTGGCTTGTGGGAGAGGATGCTGTGGGGCTGTGGGCTAGCTTTCTTCACCAATGAAGAACACAGAGAAAACTGAGATGAAAGAACCAGGTCTGGGACATAGAGCATGAATGCCCCTGTTCCAGCAGGAAGCTGACACCACCATTATTTGCACAATGTCAGGGCTCCTGTAAGTCATGTGACCAACTCCAGGCCACCTAATTTTCTGAGCCTCATGGTCTCCTGTCATATGAAGCAGCAAATAAAAATGCTCAGAAGACCCCACCACACACACACAACCTGACACTCCAGGATGCTGGGCTGGATCATGCATCCTTCGCCAACTCAAGTAACTTGAATTTCACTCAATAATTTTCATGGCACACTTTGACCTGGGGGGAGCTGTGCTTCCAGCTTCTGGCAGAGCCTGGTAGCTTTTCTACAGACTATAGGGGTAGAGAGCACACAGGGACTTTCAGGATCACAGATAGAAACTTGTTACCTAGGTCAGAAGGTCGGGTCAAATACCCTTTAAGGCCTCATCGGCTGGGTGTGGCAACCAGGAGGGTCCCAGACAAACATAGGTTGGGAGCCTCACCCTCTTCCCCCTCAGTAACACGCAATCACTGGCCTGGGCTTTGCTCCAGGACCCGGCCCTGAGAGGAGGAGGTCCAGAAAGCCCCGGGAACAGGGTGTGGATCTGGAGTGGATCCCAGCAGGGCTGAGCACCCCAACAGCCCTGGGAGCCTGGCTGCAGCATGGAGGGGGTGGCACAATCTTGGCATATAAAAGTTTATCAGAAGACTTTAAAGAATGACTAACTCATTCCTAGAGAAAAAGTTAGAATATGCTAAATGGGTGGATGGGTAGATAGATGATCAAGTACATCAGCGGGTGGGTGGGTGAATGGTTGTATAAGTGGAAGGATAGGTGGATAAATGGATATATGGATGGACAGTTTAGTGGGTAGGTAAATAGATGGTAGATGGATGGTTGAGTGACAGGTGAGTAGATGAATGGATGAATGAATAGATAGAGGGAGGGATAACTGGATAGTTGTATGTATGTATGTATGGATGGGTGATTGAGTGTGTAAGTTAGTAAATGAATGGGCAGATGGATGGGTAAATAGGTGAATGGGGGTGTGGGTGGATAAATTAAATAGTGAATTCATGAATTAGAGGTTAAAATAGTGACAGGATTTCCTTTACCCAAAATAACTTCAGAAATGTCTTTTTCATGTTAAAGGAGAAAATTGAGCTCTTCCAAAAGAACCTTTGGGTTTTGCCTAAATGACAAAAGTAGATTGAAGATCATCTGAATAATCGTGGAAGGAAAGTTCTGCACTGAGTAGTGTGTCAGAAACAGAATCCAGGGCTCACTCAGCTGTCTTTGCTTTGTTAGATTCCCAGAGTGACCTACCTGGTGCTGTAGCAGGGATCTTAAATATTACATATTTTGTCCTTCCTTTGTCCACAATGGATGTGCCCATGTTAAGGACATTTCCAGCTTCATCATAATGAGGGTGTGAGGTCGCCAGGTTTACAGCCACATACTTCCGGTAGTCAACCTGTAAAACACAACAGCCACACTTTATTTTCATAAGAGAGAAGAGGGAATCCCATGAACACCTGACTGAGCCTAGGTCTATAAAGGTGGATCTTTCTGTACATTTCCTGATTGGAAAATAAAGGCATAATTTGCCTTTAAAGAGATGTCTTAATCAAGTAGTGGTGGCACATACCTCCAATCCCAGCATTTGAGCAGAGGCAGGCAGATCTTCGTGAGTTCTAGGTCAGCCTGATCTACAGAGATAGTTCTAGGATGGTCAAGGCTACACAAAGACACCTTGCCTGGAAAAAAACAAAACAACAAAAAAGAGATGTCTACTTTCATGTCCTGATGTGACCTTACATTAGGAGGTGCTTCTGCAACTAATCAGCTGTGGGAAGCTTGCGTGTGTGTTGTGTGTGCATGTGCGTGTGTGAGAGTGTATGTGTGCATGCAAGTGTGTGTGAGAGAGTGTGTGTGTGAGAGAGAATGTGTGTGAGTGTGTGTGTGAGAGTGTGTGTGTGTGAGAGAGAGAATGTGTGTGTGAGAGAATGTGTGTGTGAGAGTGTGTGAGTGTGTGAGAGAGTGTGTGTGTGAGTGTGTTTGTGTGTGAGAGAGAGTGTGAGTGTGTGTGTGAGAGTGTGTGTGTGTGAGAGAGAGTATGTGTGAGAGAGTGTGTGTGAGAGAGTGTGTATGTGAGAGAATGTGTGTGTGAGAGAATGTGTGTGTGAGAGTGTGTGAGTGTGTGAGAGAGTGTGTGTGTGAGTGTGTTTGTGTGAGAGAGAGAGTGTGTGTGTGTGAGTGTGTGTGTGAGAGTGTGTGTGTGTGTGAGAGAGTATGTGTGAGAGAGTGTGTGAGAGAGTGTGTGTGTGAGAGAATGTGTGTGTGAGAGTGTGTGAGTGTGTGAGAGAGAGTGTGTGTGAGTGTGTTTGTGAGAGAGAGAGTGTGTGTGTGTGAGTGTGTGTGTGAGAGTGTGTGTGTGTGAGAGAGTATGTGTGAGAGAGTATGTGTGAGAGAATGTGTGTGTGAGAGAATGTGTGTATGAGAGTGTGTGAGTGTGTGAGAGAGTGTGTGTGAGTGTGTTTGTGAGAGAGAGAGAGAGAGAGTGTGTGTGTGTGTGTGTGTGTGTGTGTGTGTGTGTGTGTGTGAGAGACACAAGTGCCTGTGGTTCCTGTCCCACGTTCTGGTCTGGTCAGGATCCTCTGCATAGTGACAGGGTACCTCATGACAGAAGGCTCCAAACTATGATCAGGGCAGGTAGATCATCATCTGCCAGGCAGTTCCAGCCACTGATCTGTGCTGATCCTATTATTTAAATTCATCCCTGCTGGAGTCCACAGAGGCAGAGTTGCAGCCTCTCGTGATATTACTCTGTAAACAGAGCTCATAAAACCATTTACTAAAAATGAATTCTACTAACAAGTTGAACTATGAACCCTGATCAGAACAGACCACAGGTGAAGAACAATGAGACAGCCAGGAGCTAGTGGTTTACCCTTCTTCTTCAAGATAACACAGCCAGCTAAAGAGTTATGTAGGACTCTGGCCCTTCCTGTATTCCCCAGCACGCATCAGTTGTGCCCTTGTCACCTAGTTTACACGGAACAGAATGCAATTTCTCTACTAAGAAAAGTGTTCAACTTAGCAGACCGTTCAAATGCCTTATGACAACACTGTGGCTTTGAAGAACCAGCAAAACTGAAATGGGGTTTATTGATTTTTCACAAGAATGTTGGCCCAGAGCTTCCCAGGAAGCAGTTCTGCCTGCTGGTTGCCCTTGCTCTCTGAGTAATACCTCCCTCTGCAGGTCACTGCGGGGAGAGTCCCTGGGTCCTAAGAGCTATGACTATGATTCTGAATTGTCTTCCAAACACACAGTGCTTGTGAATGTGACATCACTGGGCAACAGCATCATTGAGTGTGTAATTACAAGTTGATGTCATACCATAGGAGAGCAGGCTGTGACCTTGTGACTTGTGTGCTTATAGAAAATGGGAAATTGGAGCACACAGACACAAGGTGAATAATAACAAGGGGCCGAGGAGATGGACACTAAAGAGATATGTCTATGAGCTGAGGAACATTGAGGATTGGTGGTAAGTCCAGGAGTTGGGAAATACAGGAAGGATACTCGCCAAAAACTGCCAGAGCCTGGCCCTACCAACACCATGGATTTAGAATTGTGGCTTCCATAAATGCAAGACAGTAGGTCTTTGTTATTTTAAGCTGTTTAGCCTGCACCACTTTTAGGGATGGGGATATGTTCTAAAGATTTATTTTTAAAATTGTGTGTGTGTGCATGTGTGTATGTGTGTGCATGTGTGTACATACATATGAGTACGTGCAACTCCATGCGTATAAGTGCAGTACCCATTCAGATCAGAAGGGGGCATCTGATTTCCCCTCAAGCTAGAGTTACAAATGGTTGTGATCCACCCAACCTGAGTGCTGAGAACTGGACTCAGGTGATCTGTAAGAGCAGTCCATGGTTTTAACTACTGAGCCATCCCTCCAGCCCCATGGGGCCACATGAGAAAGTCATCATGAGGAGATTTCACTTTGGGGACATCATAGAGTTTACCAGATAAGATGGCTACAGTGTCAGTGGGTGGACTCATCTTTGGGGCTCCCATCGTGCATGTATTCCATGGTTAACTGAAATATACTTAAACAGCACGTGACTGTGCTTACATAGCAACCACTGAGAACCAGTGTAGCAGTCCCTGCTTCAGTTGAACAACAAGCACCATGGGAGGGTAGCTGAGGGCTGAATGGCATCAGGGGAGGGGACATTCCAGTGAGTTCCTCGTAGACAGCTTGGGTTCCTCGTAGACTCCCCAGGGGTGGGGAGTGGGGTTCCTTTCTTGGGTCAGGAATGTTCAATGATGGTAAGCCCATGGTACCTTCTCTAGGGTTTCTAGAGTCTGGGGGTTGATTTTCCTGATGTAGTTGGTCTCTGTGGTCGCATAGAAGTCATCTCCACACTTCATGACATTGATCAGGCAGTTGTCTGTGAAATCGGGGATGGTGTGGGACAAGTAGGAGAACGCCCTGGAAGGAAAGGGGGTTGTGTTAGTGGCCATGTCAGGGTGGTTCTGCTCTCTGTGACTTGCCTTCTTGTCATTTAACATGACTCAGACATCAGGTTCCCCAGACAGCAGGAGCTGATATGCTTCCAACTATTTTAAACACCCATACAGATATCAGACATGTAACCCTATACGCACCCCCTCCCAAAAAAAGAAAAAACTTAGCAAAAATGGTTAATATCTGCTTTGGCAGAACCTGAGTCCTTATTGAGTATTCCAAATTTGTCAAGAAGTTATTTGTAGTTTTTTTTTTTGTTTTTGTTTTTGCTTGTTCTTCTTTTGAAACAAGGTTTCATTTGTCCCAGGCTAGCCTCAAACTTGCTATGTACCCAAGGATGTCCTTGAACTTCTTGATCATCCTGCCACCAACTTTTGAGTGCTTGGCTAGGCATGGGCACTCACGTTCCTGTAACCCAAGAGCTGTGTGAAGTGGAGACAAGAGGATTGCTGGGGACTTGCTGGCTTCGCTTAGCTCCCACTGCAGTGAGCGGCTCTGTCCAGACATGGAGCATTGGTCCATCACATCTGGTTTAAGCTTGTGCTGGGATCGAACCCAGGGCTTTGTGTAAACCTCTACTAACTGAGCTACATCCTCAGTCCTGGAATTAGTTTTGGAGAGAGAGAGAGGAGAGAGAGAGAGAGAGAACAAACTCCTGTTAGTTAAGGCTCATGGTTCATTTTGCCAAATGGCAAACTACGAACAGGAAGAAAGAGAAGCCAAGGGGGTTTATTGGTACAAAGGCAAACACTGGACACAGTGTTGAGTGGTACTCCGCCTACTGGCAGAGGATATAACTGCAGGGATGCTCCTCCAGGTGTGGTTTTAAAGTCCTTCCAGCCCACTCCCTTTTCTCTGTTCACACCTCCCCAGCTCAGCCCATCTGCAAGAGCAAGTCGCCCTGTTCCAGAGATGGATGATGTCATCCCTGGAAAACCAGAAGCAGTTTTCCTGTCCCTGGTCAATCCACCCTGAATCTTTCCATAGTTCTCTTCTGTCTGAAGTGTATCTGAAGGGAGGTAGTGGCAGCAGGTCTGCCTCTAGCCAAGAATTTAATTGTTGGATGTGTACCACACACATCTGCTTCATAACCCAGATGGTTTCAGATGTGGCCCAGAAAAATCTCCCCACCCCCTCATTTGTCAGCTTTCCATGACTGATCGCTTTATGTCCTGTGCAAGCAATAATACACCTAGACTTCTTTCTTTTTTTCTCCCTCAACAGAGAACACATTTATGAACCTTGCTTTATAAAAAAGTTTGTGTGGCATGTGTGTAGTTCATGTGTGCAGGTATACATGTTCATATGTGTGAATAGTGGGCCAGAGGAAGATATCATTCTCTACAATATTCTCTCTCTCTGATTTTTTTGAGACTGTGTTTCTCTGTGTAGCCCTGACTGTCCTAGAACTCTGTCTGTAGACCAGTCTAGCCTTGAAGTCACAGAGATCCAGCTGCCTCTGCCTCCTGAGTGCCAGGATTAAAAGTATGCACTGCCACCATCTGGTTTCTACCATACTCTCTCCCATTAGAGCTGGAGTTAGTCTGTAAACCCCTGCAATCTGCCTGTCTCCTTCTCACACTGTGCTAGGGTCCCAGGCATACTTATGACCATGCTCAGCTTTTACAAGAGTTGTGGAATCTAAAGTCAGGACTTCATGCTTTCTCTCAGCAACTAGCCATGTCCGCGGCCCTACCCTGATCTAAACAAACAAACAAACACAAGCAACTTTTTGACTTAATGCATCTTAGAATCTTTTTTTTTTGTAGCATAGCTAGCAGTCTCATTTCTTTTTTTTGCCTCACTAGGCATTTTCTGATAGCAGTTTTACTGTTGTGCACTCAACCAGACTTCTTGCAATGACATCTGGGTTGTGTGTAGCTTTTATCATAACAAATTATATAGCCAGGAATAACTTTGTCCATTTGTCATTTCCAACTTGAGCAAGTAAGTGCATCTCTAGACCAAAAGGGAACATACATTTGTAATTTTGATTGATAGTGCCCAAACATTCTCCCACCAGCCAGGCAGGAAAACATCTGACAAGTTGTCATCCTCTCTTTACCTCCTTTGCCACCAATGATCAAGAATCACACAGCATCTATGGTCACAGGCAAGCCACAGGGAGTTTTATCTACCCTGAAGAAAATTACTGGGGTGAAAATATGGGCTGTTTTGACCATCAGAAAAAAAAATATAGCTGGGCGGTAGCAGCCCATACCTTTAATCCCAGCACTCAGGAGAGGCAGGTGAATCTCTGTGAGTTCGAGACCAGCCTGGTTTACAAGAGCTAATTCCAGGATAGCCTCCAAAACCACAGAGAAACCCTGTCTCGAAAAACCAAAAAAAAAAAAAAAAAAAAAAAAGAAAGAAAGAAAAAAAGTATATATATATATACACACACACACACACACACACACACACACGTATTGTTAAGATTTGGAAAGAGTTGTTACTTGGAGAAGATGTTTTTGCATGGGTCTGGATAGGCCATTGTTCCAAACTCAGACACCACGATTTTGTTGGCCTCGATGTTGGCATTGTAGGTGTCACTCTGCAAGTATTTGCTCCTGTAGAAGACCTCCCCTGAAATAGAAGCAGACACTTGTCAGCCTGGCACCTTCTGGGGCTTTGGAATTGATGTCAGCCAGCCATTCTAGGGGCTTTCCTGGGGGCCAGAGCGAGGTTTGCTGGCCCAGACAAGCCTCTTTTGTGCAAGTGCATACCACAGAGAGAAGAGAGTTCAGATTGTAAGTTCATCTCCACACATTAAAATATGTGGATGTATTGTGTTGTGTGTGGATTCAGGAACACCCAGTCACCCTGCCCAGTATGGCCTAGCCAATGGCAATACCTTCCCCAAGCTAGTGTTTGTTCAGGAAGACAGAAATTTGGAGAACTGGTTGGGAAGGCTGTGCTGACTTCTGAAGCATCATTCACAGCTAGAGGATCTATCTTCAGAAGCCAGTGTCAGCAACTTCATATATGTTGCATCTGGGTGTAGGGGGATGACATAACACTGGATTCTGTATAGCCACAGAAGATCGGAACTTCCCAAGATCTATCATCAAAACTCAAAATGCCTAGTCACTCCTTGTTCAGCCATAAGTGGGACAGCTATACTATACCCTTTCTCCTGAAGAGATGGGGAGCATCGAGGAAGAGTCAGAAGAAAGGTTTTAAGAGCCAGAGGCTGGGGAGGACAGAGGTGGAACGGTGTCTTCTGGGCTCTGAAGAACCATTGCACTCACAAACACAGCTGCTCTGCTTGCCCGCGTTACATCAAGCCAGTCACCCTGCATAGAGATGATCACAAAAGCCCCCACTCCTAGCTGAAGAGCTCTTGGTAGTTGTTGGCTGCAAGCAGAGAGTCAGTTTTCTTTAGAGGTGTGATCCCCATAGGTGTCCCAGGCTCCAGTGGATGCCCCACGCCTATGCACATATGGGCAGCATTAATAGACTCAGTGGGTTACAAAAATAAGATAAAGGATGGAAAAGGGGTGTCGGGGGAAACGGCTCAGTGCATAAAGTCACCTGCTGGCAAATCTGTTGACCTAATTTTGATGCCCAGAACCCACCCAGTGGAAGGAGATAACTGACCTCCCCCTTCCCCAATGTGTCCTTACACATGTACTTATGTTGACACACACATACACACAAACAAGTACAATATAAAAAGCAATGTTCTGAGTAAAAGAAACCTAACATAAGTTGTCAATCAGAGTCAAATAGGTTGTAAACACTTGAATGCAAAAATTTTTAACACATGAAGTAGAAGTGTGAGCATAGATATATTCTCACCTAATAAAATAGACATGCAAGGAGGTTAAATATCTTAAGCTACATAAGCAATGAGTACTAATGGATTGCTAGGCTGGTAATGAACATAGTGATGGCCTCTCAGGTAGGATCTTAAGAGTCAGTTTGACTCTACTAAAAATACACTCAAAATGTGCAGCAGGGTGACATTTCATGATCGGGCCATCTCACATAAGTGACACCTCAGTTAAGAAGGTGATGTGAGGAATATCCCAGAAGCCCAATATCCATGCAACAACAAGCTCTTTCCCTGATAATCCCTCCGATGATGACTTCTAAGAGCACCAATGGATTTTTTTTTCTGGGGGTGTATTTCCATATCTTTCTCTGAAGGACTGAGTGTGCATTTCAATAAAAACCACACCCATTCTCTACCTAAGGAGAAATGATGACCATAACAGCAACACTAACCATCATGAGACTATAGTCGACTTCAGGTAGCAGCCTCCTGGTCCCTAGAGTCAGCATTTCAATGAGATTCTCTGAGGCACCTGGCTTTGGGTACACAGAATACATGTTCTGATGGCTCACCATCACTGCCGCCTTCAGAATCACTTAGGAGACATATCTCTAGACAGATCTTAAGAGGCTGTCTCCAGAGAGGCTTAACTGAAGAGGGAAGAGCCATTCTGAACTGAGTGTTGGAGTTAAGCCTTTGCCTCTGCTTCCTGCCTGTGGATACAGCGTGGCCAGTGTGCCTCACTCTCCTGTTATCAGGCCTTCCTCAGCAAGCCCTGAGCCCAAAAGAGATCCTTCCTTCCACTTTAAGTTGCCTCTGTATTTTGTCACAATGTTAAAAGTGGACTTTTACTTGAGTGTTGGTTGATGAAATTCTAGATGATTGAGGAAAACCCTTGATGTTTCAAGTTGGAAGCTCGCCTGGAGGGGCTGTGAGCCTTCTGTTGGTCTTCAGCCAAGTACAGCACTGAACAAATACCCACTTTAGAGCCAGCTTGTCCTTCTTTGGTCACTCTTTCTGGATGCCACCATCCACATGGCACTGGTTAGAGCCTTTGGGCCCCAATGCTTGGCTTGAAAGGTGAATTCTTTTCACTTGAAATGTAAACTCTCAGTCCAGGCCACCCACTTCCTATAAACACGGAGCTGTGGGATCTCAAAGCACTTGAGGTGCTGAGAGAAAGTAGCTCTGGAAGTGCTCAGGACTAATGCTGGACTAAAAAGTCGTCAGCCACTGCCCACCCTGCTCTACCAAGCTGCCAGTTGGTTACATCCCATCTGAAGGGACACAGTAAACATAAATATCATGCCTAGTGTCTTCAAGAACTGGGTCAAGTCTGATTGTCTTGTGTTAGAGGGTATGTATTCACGTATACATCATAAGCCAAACACATGTGCACCCATACACTCTGACATATGCCATACATACTTGTGTAATTCACCTACTCTAGCACGCACCACACACACATGTACACCCACATTCCCCAATATGTGCTCACACATATGTGTACACACTCACATGCTTTGACACACACTATACCCTTTTGTGTGCACTCACACGCTTCAGTACATACCACAAGTACTCTGTATACCATACACTCTGACACACACCACAATACTGTGTGTCTACACACACCTCAGCACACATTGTACATACATGTGCACTTCCATATTCCCAACATGCACCACACATACATGCATACACACACTAAACACACTTGTATGTACAATGCATCCCAGCACATACCACACACACACAGGCACACACTACAAAGCACCCATGCACATATCATGCACACTCTCACACATATACATGAGCATGCACACAATACTCAAATCCCAGGGCGATGATGACTCTGTCTCCTAGAAACAGTCTCTTTGCTGTCAAGAGTCTTGACATTACTCACTGTCACTACTTTAAACAAACTTTCTACTTTGAAGTCCTTTTAGATTTAGACAAAGGAACCTATTCTCTACCTTTCTCCAGCTTTCTTCTTCTTTGTTCTTTCTCTTTTACCCAGTCTTTGCTTGATATTTATTTATATTATTTACATTATTTTATCTTTTGAGATGGAGTCTCACTAGGAAGTTCTAGAATGAAAACTAGAAGTCAGTTGGAGGCTTCTCAGAAACTAAAAAATGACTGGAGAGATGGACCCACAGTTAAGAGTGCTGTTCTTACAGAGGACCCAAGTTCAGTTCCCAGCACCCACACTGGGTGGCTCCCAACCACTTGTAACTCCAGCTCCTGGCAACCCAATGCCCTCTTCTGGACTCCTAGGGTGCTGCATTCACATGCACAAACCCTCACACAGATGCAATAGCATACACATAATTAAAGATAAATCTTAAAAAAATAACTCACAAAACTAAACTAAAACTAGATCTACCACAGAACTCAGCTATACCACTCCTGGGTATTTACCCAAAGGACTCTAAGGCAACATGTCCTGGAGATATCTGCACATCCGTGTTTATTTACTGCAACTCCAATCACAATAGCTGTTGTGGAACCCACGGAGGTGTCCAACAACAGAAGAATGGGTAAAGAAAATATGGTATGTGTATATAATTCAACTTTCTTTTAGCTATAAAGAAGGAAGCTATGTCATTTACAGGAAGATGGATGGACGTGGGATTGCTAAGTGAATTCAGTCTCAGGAAGATAAATACTGTATTTTGTCACCCATACATAAAATTATGTAGAAGTGAAACAGTCTAGGGGAACAAGAGGGATAAAAGAGAGGGCGAGAAAAAGAGATTATAGAGGAATATGGGGGATAGGTTCAACATCTGATACATGCCTATATGAGAAGCAAAATAAATGGAACAAAAATCTAAAGAATAAAAGACCCGCTATAAGATGCACAAAACAAAATGAACAACACCCATTTTTTTCTTTTCCCCTGACCCCAAGTTTCCTACCCATACCCTCTTCCGAACTAGGCAGGGGGAACTTGCCGTTTTGTGTTGCTACCTCCACTGTTACACAGTGGGGGAGGGGAACCTGGAGGCCCCACAGGAGATGAGAGGCCTGGTTGGCAATCAGGAGACACTTAGAGGGGTGGGTGGCAGACGTGGGAGACCCTGATAGCAGAGGGCCCAGGACACACAGCCTTGATGGTTAGGGCAAGCAGTGTGTTCAGCTGGCTTCTTTTCAGTCTGGCCTCCTGTTTGATCAGAGGCCTGTCATAAGATGAAATGACGGAGAGCCTTGGGCATCTTTCCAGAGTTGTTTGCAGTAGACTGGGTAATGCTCTCCCTGAGATCATCCTGCATCCAATGGAAGGGACTTTGTGGGTCTTCTTTGTTAAAGCATTAGGTCTATCTGACTTGTCATGATGGCATTATAAAGTCTTTGTAAGAGAGAGACAGGGAGGGGGATGGGCAAAGAAGTGGGAAGAGAGAGAGAGCAAGAATTGGGGGAGAAAAGAGAAGGATGTGAGAGGAAGGAGAAGATAGAAAAGGAGGAGTAAAATGGGGGAAGAGAGGAGGAAGAGAAAAAGTAGAGGGGGAGAGGAGGAGGTGGAATAGGAGAGGGGAGAGGAGGAGATCATGAATGGAGAAGGAAGAGAAGAGACAGACACTGAAAAACATGCATGATACCATGTCACTGGTTTGAGAGAGGGATGGATCCACAAGCCAAGGGTGCAGGCCACTTCTGAAGTCTTGCAAAGCAAGGCAATTGGTTTTCCTCAGAGCTTCCAGAAGGAAGCTACCAAGCAGGCTACCAATACTCTGACCTTACTCTCAGTGTAATCAATTTCAGACTTCTGACGCTCCCACCCCAGAATGGAAAGAGAACAAACTCCTGTTGTTTCAGGCCCTTGAGTCCGCCTTGTATTTGTTACCATGGCAACAGCAAACTCATGCTGGCATCTCACCATCTCTGATGGAGAAGCTGTGGAGAAGGGCCAGGCCGTCAAACCAATGGTTGTACTTGCTAACTCCCACTGTGTGCATCCCGGGCCCATTTCGAAGCAGGGTCCCCTGCAGCCATGTTGGAATCTTGCCTGTTAAAAGATAAACAGATTAGTTGCCAGATTCCATGACCAAGCTGAAAAAAAATCTCAAAAATGTGTGTGTGGTGGGTGTTGGAAAGGAAGTGAGTGTATAGAGTACTACTACTCATTGCCCATTTACCCATAGTTCTTTCTAGAAATGGTACAACAGGGGTGGTAGTTTGCTAGCACTGAAGTTGACCCAGAAGAATAGATAATATCCCTACCGCGAAGTTGTTCACTGTTCATTAAGGAGATTAAAAGAATAGATACTCCAAATACACTTCTAGGGAGGCAGTACTGCAGCCCAGTACTGCTCTGATAGTCGTGAGGGAGAGTATTAGCCTCACTAAGGCATGGAAGAACAATCTAGAGGGTAGGGGATGGCTCTCTTGCTAAAGTGCTTACAATGCAAGCATGAGGTGCTGAGCTTGGCTCCCACAACCCAAATTAAAACAAACAAACAAACAAACAAAACAAAACAAAACAAAACAAAAAAAAAAAAACCTCAGGCATGAGCCAGGTGGTGGTGGCACACACCTTTAATCTCAGCACTCTGGAGGCAGAGGCAGGAGGAGCTCTGTGAGTTCAAAGCCAGCCTGGTCTACAGAGTGAGTGCCAGGACAGGCTCTGAAGCTACAAAGGGAAACCCTGTCTCAAAAACAAACAAACAAACAAACAAAACAAAACAAAACAAAAACCAAAAACCCCAAACCAAAACCAAACAAACAAAAAACCAATACCCCCCCCAAGGCATGATGGCACATGCTTGTGATCCCAGTGCTGGGGATGTGGAAACAGTAGATCCCTGAAACTTGTCAGCCAGTCTAGCCAAACGGGCAAGCTCCAGTCAAGTGAGAGATCTTGTTTCAAAAATCAAAGTGGGTGTCATCTTAAGGAAAGACACCCTAACACCCAAGGTTGACTTTTGTCCTCAGTGTGTGTAGAGGTCAGAGGACAACTTTCAGGGATCATCACCCTCCTTCTGCTATCTATGAAGAGCAAGCCATGGGGAGTAAGCCAATAGGCAGCTTCTCTCCATGGCCTCTGCATCAGCTCCTGCCTCCAGGTTCCTGCCCTGTTTGAGTTCTTGTCCTGCTTCCTTTGATGGTAAGTAGTGATATGAAAGTGTAAGCCAAATAAACCCTTCCCTCCCCAAGTTGCTTTGGTCCTAGAGTTTCATCATAGCATTAGTATCCCCGACTAAGACATCTACCTAATGAAAACTCGAGAGGATCTGGAAAGATGGTGTAGTGGTTAGGAGCACACATTGCAACGTCCAGTTCCAGAGGATCTGAGTTTGATTTTCAGTAGCTCATAACCACGTGTAACTCCAGCTCCAGGGGATCTAACACCTCTGGTCTTCCCAGATACCTGTGGTCATGTTTACATCCCACACACAACTATAGACACATACACATGATTAAAGATAATAAAAGCTTAAGAAAAACACTTGGGGGAAATATATTCAAATAATGATACTTTAAATTTGTCTTTTATATCTTAATATTCACCTAAATGTTGTATACAACTTAACAAATATACATTGATATTCATAGAAAAAAAAAAAAAAGCTGGGAAGGTTCCTATCAACTTCTAAAGCAATTCCTCTGTTAGCAAACTCTGCCTGAAGGCCAACACAATGGCATGGCAGGTAGACACTTGCTTCTAAGGCTGACACCTGGGTTCAATTCCTGGGATGCACATGGTGGAAAGACCCCACTCCTGCAAGCTGTCCCTTGGTCTCCCCACTTGTACTGTGGCTATCAGAGGATTCCTGGATTCTTCTGGAGACAGTGGAAAGGAATGGCTCTCTCCCTGGAAACTGAGTTACCATGTGCAAACAAACCCAGTTTACCACAGAGACTGTTTTGGGGGTCTTGGCTTATCTTGTTCCCATAAACACATTTCCAGGCTCCCAAAAGCAGATTATAATACAGAAAAAAAAAGATGCCCATCTAAACAGGAAGTCTCACCTGTCACTGTGGCTGGCACTGGCACCAGCTGTTCTTTCTTATTCCTGCCAAATATTATCTCCATGGAACTGGTAGGTGGCGGCGAGGAGGATGTTACGGGAATAGACATGATAGCCCGTGTGCCTTTCTGCCCTCTGTTCCTTTACATCTTCTTCTGTCCCTCTGCTTCCTTCCCCTCTGCAGGTCAGTGATTCTGCCTCCTGCCAGAAGCTGCTGGGTAATTTATGCAATGTTTGGTCAAAGGTCAGTTCCCAAGCCATGTGCTACTGCTAATCTTTAACCCTGCTTCCAACTCTTCCTCTCTGCTTTCACTTGTAGCTTAACCCAGAGAGGCTCTGTTTGAAGTTGGTGGAGAGCATTTGGTGCATTCTGCTGAGTTAGGTTGTCTGAGCTAGCCCATCCTGAGACCTGGATGTGTTTATGGTTGGAGCAGGCAGATATGCAGGACCAGCAAAGGCTCTTCAAGCTAGGGGACCATCAAATTCATTGACCACACTATTGCATGATGTGTGTTGGTGACATTTTCACCTTCTGCAAGCTCCAGTGTGGGGTGTATGTGTGTGTGTGTGTGTGTGTGTGTGCGTGTGCATGTGCATTGTGTGTGTATGTTCCTTCCCACTCTTAAAAATCATATGAACGGACACCTGAATGATTTTCTTTTTGGAAAAAGGGCACAAAGACAGGAAAGAAAAGGTTTTTTATCAGAAGCCAAAGAGTAATTAAAACACCGAACAACTTCAGGGACTGGGGCTTGTTGTGTGAGCACGGGGACCTATGTTCCACCCGAAGCACCCACATAAATCCCAGTTCTGGGAGATGGAGACAGGAAGAGATCTTTGGGGCTTGCTGGATGACCAGTCCAGCCGAAACCCTTCAGTTCAACTTGGGCTATCAAGAGGGTGAAACCATGGCCATCTTTGGCTCTATCTACGGTTTTCCCAATGTTCACATATCCCGATATGATGCTTTGCCTAAAAATCTACATTGAGTTTTCCCGGGTGGGTGGAAGTTGGTGGAATCTTGAGTCCCACTGCTCTCGGAGTGATGTCTTCAGTGGGGAGAGTAACAGCTGAGATCAAGCTGGGTTCCACACTACACAACCTGTCAGGGATCAAAACATCATGGGACAGCACAGATATGTGCAATTTCTGTAATTAAATAAACTTTTAAAATAAAGATGGTTTGGGGGTGGGTAGATGGCTTGGTCAGTAAAGTATTTGACTTGCAAACCTGAGGCAGACCTGAGTTCAGCCCACAGAACTTATGTTACAAGAAGAAGAAGGAGGAGGAGAAAAGAAAAGAGCTAGGCCTGTTTAGCCTCCTTGGTGAGTTCCAGGCCAAGGGGAGACCATGTTTCAAAATAAATAAACAATAGGTACTTGGTACCTGAGAAGGCAACTGCCAAAATTGTCCTCTGGCCTACATGCACACATTCTTATGTAATGCAGAGCTGTTCACCTGTTTACACACAGACAATGGTTTGGGGAGAAAGGGGGAGCATGGTGCCTGCTTTCACATACCCAGCTGTGGAGGAGGGTGGGGGGCTGAGCTGAGAGTCATCATTCAGGGTTTCAGAGAGTTCTAGAACAGTCTGTGCTTCCTCCCCTGGCTGCATGTTGCCAGCTCCTAGTGAGAGTTTGCAAAGTGCTGGTACTGGGCTGGGCTCCAGACCCACTGACTCAGAATCTCAGCGGAGCCAGAGGCCAGTGTTTAGTGATGTCTTCAGATGACTGCACTGTGCACAGCCAGAGCAGGAAGAGATGCAGAGCTTGACTGACACTAGGCTGGAGCGTCTGAGGTCCTGGTCATGTTACTCTCTCTGAGCCTCCTTTGCCCTAGCTATGAAGTAGGGTGCAATGATCTTTGTCCTAGCTATGAAATAGAGTGCAATGACATTAGAATCCCAAAGCCCATTACCCTTTTTCTCTTCTCTTAGAAAGCATTCCCTCCATTCTGCATTTCCAAGAAGTCCCCTGATAACCTCTCTGTTTCTGCTGCTGTCATGTCCAAACACATGCATCCATGCCAGAATTATTTACTCCAAGCTGTAAAGTTACATCCTGGTGTAGGTATCTGGGATACACAGATGGCTCAGGAGAAAAATACGCTATTGGGTAAGAAGGAAAAACTTTGGTTAAAAGACAGAAGATTTGGGTTTGAAGCTCAGCCTGATCTTCAATAATCGTGGCCCTGGGAGGGAGGGCAGGATGGCTCAGTGTGTAAAGGCTCTTGCCACCAAGCTTGATGACATGGCTTCAATCTCTGGAACTCACATGGTGGAGAGAACTGACTCCCACAAGTTGCACACCCCCCCCCCGCCCACGTCCATATGTGCACTGTGCATCTACACCTTCCTACATAACAAAAGAATAAATAAATAAGTAACCAATTAAATTAATTAATAGATAAAAATAAAAATTATTTATGGCCCCTTGAGACCTCAATTTACCCTGCAAAGCAGGGAAGCCAGTTCCCACGTTAGCAGCATGCTATGCAATTGCAGACATGATCATGCTGGGTTTTTTGTTCCCCATTTTACAGCAGTGGCCATCACCCGCTGAGCATTTTCTATGAGTCAGTTCTTCGTGGGATCTGTACAGGTAGTGGTTTGCCCTGGTGGAAACAGACCCATGAGGTGGATGCTCTCAGCGACCCACATTGAACAAACCATGGTAGCTTAACTCTGTCTGAACTTGAGTCTCTACCCTCTCTGGGATGAGAGAGAAAGTGGCTAGGACTGGACTATACAGGGTTTGTAGAAATTCACCCTGTGTCATAGGCAATGGGATCTAAGTTGGGGAGACAATGTCCAATGCAGGTACTCAGGGGACAGCCAATAGCCAAATGTGGCCATTCAATTTGAATATGAATGAATTGCAATGAGGGATGGGGTTGCTCTCAGGTCCAGTGCTTTCCTAGCATGCATGTATGAGGCCCTGGCTTTGAGGGCCCACTGGAGAAAATGAGGAGGGTGGACCTCACAGAGGACGAGCTGGGCTGTCTCAGCTCTTCTACAGGGGACTCTGACCATGAGAGGTGTTACGTGTTGCTTCCTGTGGGGTTGCAGCAGGAGAGAATGCCTGACAGGAAAGGAAAGGAGGGGAGAGGAGAACTGTCAACAGGTCAAAGGATGGAGGCTGGAGCTGGCTTAACTTACTCAGGAGGTACGTAGGCCAGCAATGGCTCAGGGTGTAAAGGCGCTTTGCCACTAAGCCTGAGTTCAATCCTTAGGATCCACAGGATAGAAGAGAACTGGTTTCCAAAAGGTGTCCTCTGACACCTGCACGTGACCTACGGTGTGTGCACATACATCTGTATACTCTCTCTCTCTCTCTCTCTCTCTCTCTCTCTCTCTCTCACACACACACACACAAATGATATAGAAAACATTTCTTGAGAGTCGTGAACAAACGTCCATTCAACCCAGAAAGGACCATGTGATTCTGGCTTGGTCAATCAATGACTTTAGGAGTGTGGATGAGCCTCAGCTACATCACCAAAAAGCTCTGTGTAGCATGGATGACAGCTTCTCCCACAGGTGCTTAGACAGACTTCCCCCTACAGTTCGTTTTCCACCTTCTGTATTCTACTACACCCCCGAGACCACGTGTAGCTGGAAAAGAATTACAAGTAGCTGGTAAGAGGGGTGCAGGAGGGGGGGAGTGCCTACAACCTCAAATGGGGGAGGTGTCTTGTACCCCCACCCTTTCCTTCTATGAAGGAATGACCACAGGCCTGACCTTGATGAGAGCTGCTTGTAGGTAGTCACAGTTGTTCGAAGATGGTAATGGTTATTATGCTTGGAGGACAGTGGTTCCCAGCAGCTGGGCATCGCTTGGGCCTCCTCCATAGCCTTGGTGGACAGACAGAGATGCCTTATTGGGATCTGCCTGTGCAAGAGGGATGGCTTGGCATGTACGAAGCCCCAGTTTGCCCTGGGAGTGTCAAATACTCACAGGGAGGGGTAGCCAGCAGCCTCCACCAACGCCCTTTGGAAGGGGGAAGGAACTTGAGCCCTGGGGCTTACAAAGCAGATGAACACTCAGTGGCTTAGTGTCTGCACAGTGCGTACATCACATCTCATCCTCTCACAGCCAGTACTTTATGAGGCTTGCTGACTTGTGCATGTGGGTGGGGATCATACTCTGTGGTGGGGTGAAAAGTTTGAACATGGGAGCATTGCGGTAATCTGAACAGTGGGAGTGGCCGTGTGTGTGTGTGTGTGTGTGTGTGTGTCCCATTTCGTGGGACAACCTATCCCTCAGGATAGATTCATGAAGTTAACAAATCAACCTGGCGGGATGGGAGATAGTTCACAGCAAAGTGTTGGCCGTGTGATCACGAGGAACTAATTCAATGCCCAGAACTCACATTAAAAAGCTGGGTGTGAAGCCTGGCAGTGGTGGCTCACACCTTTAATCTCAGAACTAGGGAGGAAGAAGCAGGTGGATCTCTCTGAGTTTGAGGCCAGCCTGGTCTAGAGTGAGTTGCTTGACAGCTGGAGAGGCAGAGACAGGGGGATCCCTGGGACTCACGGGCAACCCAGACTAGCCTACTTGGTGAACTTCAGGCCAAAGAGACCCTGTCTCACAAACCAAATGGAACCTCACCAAAGATTGACTGCCTGCCTGTGTATGCCTGTACTCATACATAAGCACATACTTATGGGGGAGACACCCACAATGGCAAACCCAGGAGACGATCTACCCAAGTTCATCATGGGGAGCCAATGAGTATATCAGGGTGGCTTACAGAGTGTTGGGTGAGGGGTTACCATTACAGGCAGGAGAATGGGTGACCTTAAAGTGGCTACCCTAGAGAGTCTGTTCCCAGGTTGGTGGTGCTCCCTCTAATCCCCACCTACATTCTTTTGCCCCTTTCGCCTCTCATGGCCATATGTAGTTAGGGCATAATTACACACAATTGGTTGGGAGTGGTGGTGGTGGCTGGATAATCAGCTGAGAGTACCACAACCTTCCCTGTTGCTCTCCTTTCAAGGAGGGATATGGACAGTCAACAAGCTCAACTGCTATACTCCTTTTGGGAGCTGGCCCATTCTGAAGATGGTGGCACTTGGGCTCAGAGGATAATTCTGTACAGTAGCAACAACAGTAACAGCGCGCGCGCGCACGCACACACACACACACACACACACACAC